TAACAGTAGTTGCCTGGAAATGAATTGTATTTCCTGAGCCATTTTCTCCCTGAATTTGTCTGCAGAACGTGTGCATTTCTGTTAGATTTATATCTGGTCTATTGTTCAGGAACTCAAGGTGGTAGATATAGTGCATCCTCCTCCCATTTGTCTTCATACCTTGTAAAGTTAGCTGGATAGAGAAAAGTGACTAGTCCAGAGTCACTCAGTAACTCATGGTTGAAGGTTGTCTGGCTATGGCACACCTAATCCCCCATTTTAATCGGTATGCTACATTGCTATATTGCTAGATACAATATCCAGAGCAGTGTTTCAGCCACTACATTTTAATGCAGGGACTGTTAAACATATATTTTAAGCTTTTGTTCTTCCCATGATACCTTACACTGCAAAAAGAGTGAGAAGAAGACATTTCAATAAGCTTTATATCAAATAACACTTTCTCACTGCAAAAAGTCTGAATATTATATTCTCAGGCAATTTCAGGTATCAGCATACTAACCTTTTCCGAGGGATTAATTCCCCCCACTTGAAAACAGTTAGTCAGATTGTCGCACACTAAAGAATCCTATTTGTTTATTCTGTTTGCATTGATAATTACTAGGCAATTGGTTAACTTAACCTATCTTTACAGAATACTGAAACCCCTCCATGAATTCTCAAATATTTAACTATTGGGCTAATTGGCTTTTGATCATTGAACTAATAGTGCAAAGGACAATACGTGTAAAGGAGTAACATACGTGGCAACATAAAAACATAACTATCCAAATAAAGAACTAATTACATAGCATAATATTACTAGGAATTGATGAACGTAAATGGGTAAATGCTATGAAATCAATACAATACAGAGTTATCAGTTTGATGATTCAGCTGGCAGTTACATTGTGCCAATGTACATTGTACCATTGTGATACAAATTCTGCAACATACACACACGCCCCACACAATAAAATGGTGCATCTCTCTTTTTTAAAAAAGTAAATATTTTTCTTGAGATTAAAAGTTGATCTACCACATTGGAGGCAATATTTTAAAATCTTGGAGGAGGGGGCTTCTGAGTTGTTTGGGATTTCTCTTCCCTTTATCTAGGAGCTAGATAACTCCTAATAAATGAAATGCACACATATATTTTAATGAAATCTGAGTTGGATCTAAGGAATCATTAATATATTAAAAGTGCAAAATTCTTGTTCTAAGAGAAACATGCTTTTCTTATTTTCGTGTTGGTGTTTTTCCTAATCTGGAGTATGAATGTAGCATGATAGCAAGCAGTAATACAAATGCAATGTCACCATTAGTTCTGTAGCTTGTATATAAATGTCATGAGTGTAAAGAAAAGTGGAAGATGGAATGGATGACCCTAATCCTTGGGCCGCAAATGTTTGAATGGCCCCAATCTTTTACTAAATCCCAAAGTGGACTCCAGTAGAAACTTTCTTCCACATCCTTTCACACTGATTCCACTGTAGTCTTCCAGATCTAAAATATGAATGGGAAAATCATCCCAATCTGCATATTTCTAAGCATTCTATATTGTGTGGGTATTAATTTGTTAATTAAATAATGAACTATATTTAAGTGTGCATTTTATTGTATCTTTAGCACCTCTAAATTGTGTTATCCCTTCCTCTCCCTATCCTTTTAATGTATGCTTTATTGAATGTTTGACATTTTTAAAAATGTTCTGTTGTATATAATGTTTCCTTTCTGCACAATGATTGGAGATATGCACTAGTTCAAATAGCTGGGCCATTTTGGAGAATTTATGTCATTCTCTGAGGTACACCAGTCTCATTTGTCTCTCCAAGAACTTCCTAAACTCTTGTGAAAACTTTGATACTTCAGGTGCCTGGAGAAATGCAGACAGTTTGCCAAAATTGTAGCTTGGTGTTTAGTTTTCCATGTAGGATTTAATTTATCTCCTTCTACCATTTTGCACTTCATCTCTGTTTATTACATTTTGGTTTGGAATAGTTTTATGTTTAGTTCTCTTATTAGTTTCTGTGTCTTAGTAGTTCAAAGAACCTTCACTGTTTTACCTCTCTGGATTCTTCGCAATGTGTGGGTCTCTTAATTTATACAAACTGATGTTGTGTGTATATGGCAACATAATGCTATAATTAATCCAGTGTTTAGTAATGAACTATTAATAAAGTGAACTTTAATAATAATTGCCCATCATCATGAAACTATGGTAAGATGTTACAAAATCATACAAAACAAAATTAGAGATGAAAGAAGCAGAGCTGCTGTTGGCATAACCAGTTACTTTCTCCTCCAAATATCAGACATCCACCTTCTGAGGGCAAAGGTACCATTTAGAGGTAGACTGTGTAGCTTCACCCTAATTCTGAGACTGCTAATTTTACATTATAAACTGTTCAGATTCCAATGCTTGAAGCAGCAGAGAAGCATTTGTAATTACTTCATTCATTCATTCATACAAGGCATCATGCTGATTGCCAAACTATAATTTGAACTTAACCTTATGTACATCTACAGCTAACTACATCTAAAAAAGTTCCAGTGATAATTAAGTTTCATTGTCCATGTTAATTCAAACAATGCATTAATTAATTTTATATAGGAATGTGCAATGGTAACAGTGGTGGGCTGCAGATGGTTTAATAACCGGTTCTGTGAGCGTGGGCTTTGCTAATACGCTTGTGTGCAGCATTCAAAATACAGCAATTTGAAGCTCAGCTGCTTACCTTCTAAGGCAGCCCCAGTAAACAGAAGAGTGGAGGTGTGGAAATCAGCTGTTCCATGTGAATCAGCTGGGGTGGGGCCAGCTGATCATCAGAACTACCGGTTTGCCTGAATCGGTCTGAACCAGCAGCAGCCCACCACTGAATGGTAATATCTTCAAGGGAAAAAGGAGGGGAAGGGAAGGGAAGGGAAGGGAAGGGACGGGAAGGGAGGGAAGGGAAGGGAAGGGAAGGGAAGGGAAGAGAAGAGAAGAGAAGAGAAGAGAAGAGAAGAGAAGAGAAGAGAAAGAGAAGAGAAGAGAAGAGAAGAGAAGAGAAGAGAAGAGAAGAGAAGAGAAGAGAAGAGAAGAGAAAAATAGTAGAGATTGGTGAGTTTATCTGATTTTCTGGAGAGTTTGAATTGTCTATATGTGTGAGACTGAATGACATAGACTTGTAAGTGAAGGCTGATATGGGAAAAAGACAAAATGAGAAAATAGGGGTTTCTTCTAGCAAATGATGAAGCCTGCCTAAGAATAAATGTTCTATATTTGGAGAGCCACTTAGCTGCCCACCATTTTATCTCTTTTTGATCTGACAGTTTCTCCCTTTTTTACAAGAGTGCTTCAGACAATCACCCCCACTCTTTCTTGTTCAAGCGTAGCTATCCTGGTCAGCTGTTTTCAGGAATCTCTGAAAAGGGTAGTGGTTTGTAGGATGAAAGGAGGGCAGCAACAATATACAGTACATCTCTTTGCTTGAAGTGAGTATATGAAGAATACTTTTTCAGAGGCCCTGGATATGGGACAGAAATCAGAGCTCTTGGTCCATGATAATTTGGTATGATGAGGGTTTTTTTTTCTTGCCTTAAACTTTTTTTTATTATTTTTTAAATATAAAAATGGGGGGGGGGATCTTAGCACCCCCAGCTGAGCTTGAGTCTGCCTGATCTATCTCTTCACAGAATGAGAGCAAATTTAGAAGAGACTGTTTAGGCCACTGAGGTCAGTGGACAGACAGCAGGGACTCAAATTAAGGCCTCCCAAAAGAAGGCTGTGTAGCCTCTGAAGATGAATGAACCATTTTCCTTGTATAAGTAGTTTCACTGCCTAATAGGCAGGAGTGTCAGGCCTGGAAGTCATATTTTTCATTGGGCCTTCAGGCCTGCCACATTTACTACTGTGGGAAACAGGGAGGGGGAATTATATGGAGCCAGGGTGATGTATAATCATAATAGCATTCTTTTCTCAGAAAGTCAAGGTCATCTTGTTCTGCACCTGGAGGGCTGAAACTCGGAGGCATCTCCAGCTGGGATGATATTTGGATTGGACTGTGTGATGGACATGTGAGTGTTGGGCAGGGACTTGGACTTTCTTTTGGGTGGGGAAAATCTGGAAGCTTTCAAATTCGGGTTTTCCCAGATGTGCCAATATGACATCTCTAATAAAATGGAACTTTGAGAAACTTCTAGCCTCGGAGTCTTCCTTCGTTGGGGGTGTTACTTGGAACCCTGACAAGGAGTACTTGAAGTATAATCAGGGAATACTTATTTATTTTGAGTTAATTTGAATACTCATACAAAATTAATCCCATCATATAGTAAGTACAGAGGGAACTTGCTAACAGTCTGGCCAAAGTTCTTTATGATCCTTGAAAAATCTTGGAGAATTAACAAAGTGCAAGATAAGAGATATCCTGTTTGCCAAACAGAAATGTGTGTTGTAGGGAGAGATTTCAGGGACTTACAGACCAAACAGTCTCAGATTAATACCTCAGAAGTCTTTTGAGAAGATCCTAAATAGATCTATAAGCAAGTACCTGCAGAACAATGACATTCCAGAAGTCAGCATGGATTTGTTAAGCATAAGTCTCAGCAGACAAAGTTTATCTCAGTTTTCAATTAAATAACTTGTTGAAGACTAAAGACATAATTAAATTTCCATTACAGGGAAATATATGATGTAGTACTCCATGGCATTTTGATTAGCAGGATGATCAGATGGTATCAATTAAAGGAAATGCATAACTGGTTCAAAAATCTTAAATACCGTAGTTTCATGAACAATTCCTTATCAACCTGGACTGAATGGTTCCATAGAATGCAACTTTTTATTAATGTTTTGGATGAAAAGGTGAAAAAAAAACCCTATCAATTTTCTGTCTTCCCATAAAACTGGGAAGACAGAAATAATAGCAATAGCAATAGCACTTAGACTTATAACCACTTCACAGTGCTCTACAGCCTCTCTAAGCAGTTTACAGAGTCAGCCTATTGCCCCCAACAATCTGGGTCCTCATTTTACTGACCTTGAAAGGATGGAAGGCTGAATCAACCTTGAGGCGGTGAGACCCGAGCTGCCAAACTGCTAGCAGAAGTAGCCTGCAGTACTGCATTCTAACCGCTGCGCCACCGAAGCTGTTATAAAATTTAATAAAATTTAAAGCAAACTTAATAGGCCAAAGAAATAGGCTGAAAATAACAATGAGTTTTGGCAAAGACAAATACAAATGCTTTCATTTATGAAACAACAATCAAATGCACAAATATAACATAGGGAACGCTTGGCTTAGCGGTAGTACCTGTGAAAAAGAGCTTGGAATAGTAGTCGCAAATGAATCAGTCGTGTGATCCAGCTACCAAAAAGAAAACTGTACTCCAAACTGAATTAATCAAAATATATTTTTATAATCACAGAAAAGAATAGTTCCACTTTATTCTGAATTATTCGTCCTTCATATTGACTATTACGTTCTACCAGGCAAAATACTCTAAAATAGATTCAAATAAAACAAACAGAACCAGAGAAGAGCAATGAGGATGAGCAGGGAACCAGAAAATAAAATCCTATAAAGAGAGATTGAAGAATTTCATAAATATGTTTGATCTATGGGGGAAAAAAATGCCAGAGAAGGGATATGATAGCACACTTCAAAGAGAGGATCAAGGCCGGTTTTTAATCCCAGTGGGAAGGACACGGAAAAATGGTATTAAATTACAGAAAGGCAGAATCTGTTTCAATGTTAGAAAAAAAACATCTAAACAATACAAGCAGATTAATAGTGGAACCAATAATCCAGAGAAAGTCTGAGGGTGCAGGGGGAGCATCCCCTTTATTGGGTATATTTAATAGGAGGCTACATAACTATCTGTCATGAATACTTTAATTTCTGTACTGAGCAGAAGGCTGAACTGAATGGCCAAAGTGACACCTTCCAATTTCAAACTGCTGTTTTCTCTTTCAGTCAGAAGTTGTATCTTAAATCCATTATTTATTTATTTATTTATTTATTTATTTATTTATTTATTTATTTATTAGTTTGATTTATATGCCGCCCTTCTCTAGAGACTCAGGGCGGCTTACAATGCGTTAAGCAATAGCCTTCATACTTTTGTATATACCTGCTTAGTAGGGCTTTTTGCCCGCCCCCCCCCCAGCGGTGTTCTATTTTATACAAAGTCAGCTTATTGCCCCCACAAACCGGGTCCTCATTTTACCTACCTCTGAAGGATGGAAGGCTGAGTCAACCTTGAGCCTGGTGAGAATTGAACTCGCAGTAATTGCAGGCAACTGGCAGCTAAGTGCTACTTTAACAGCAGTTTTAGTCCGCTGCGCCACCAAGGCTCTTATCCCACTCCTTTAGTCATGGTGGTAGAAAATAGGTCTTGACCTTACTTTAGATTACATCCCTTTAGATACTTGAAAATTGCTATAATATCTTTTTCAATTGTGTTTAAGTTTAGCATATGCAATTCCTTATGTCTCTGTTAGAAGGGTTTAATTTCAAGTCCTTTGCTCCTTCTAGTTGGCCTTCTGTGAATAATACTGTATAATACACTTTCCCCCTTACCGTCCTTCCGTAAGATTGCATGCATAGAATCACCTTCATGCGGCATATTGTTTCTCTAAATGTGAATGCATATTTTCATTGCCTGTCCATAGATGCACCTGAAAGGTTAATAGAACTGAGGTGCGTCTTTATTCTTGCATCTTTATTAGTGGTATATGCATGTGTTTCAGAGGTAGTATTCAGCAGGTTCTGACCAGTTCTGGAGAACCTGTAGCAGAAATTTGAGTAGTTTGGAGAACCGGTAGTAAAAATTCTGACTGGCCCCGCCCCCATCTATTCTCTGCCTCCCAAGTCCCAGCTGATTGGGAGGAAATGGGGATTTTGCAGTAACCTTCCCCTGGAATGGGGTGGGAATGGAGGTTTTACAGTATCCTTCCCTTGCCATGCTCACCAAGCCACACCCACAGAACCTGTAGTAAAAAATTTTGAAACCCACCACTGATGTGTTTGTCTTGTTTCCATTTCTTCAAGCAGCCTCTCTCCAACGGAAGATGTAGCTACATGTATTTCAGGAGCTGACATACCCCAAAAGAAAAGTGGAATAACTAATTTAGCTTGAAGACAGAAATATGTCCCATAAAATTACTGAGATGTTCTGGATAAATGGTATTAGAATTGGTGTGATTGCAAGAAAATGGCAAATTTCCTCCCTAGTCTTAGTTTGATTTGGATTATTTCTCCCATAACCCCAGTGTGATGTTTGACTATTCTCTATTTCTTCCACATGGTGACAGCCTCACAGAGCCATAGAAGAAACTGCCAAGTAGCTGATATACAGTCATCAATGATTGGAAATGTGATCATTAATTCCATAGTCTTCCAGACAAGGCAATAGAGCAGTGAGTGCCAGCTGCCAATGAAATACTGTGCCAACAGAATTATTGCTGAGCTTTTCAGTCTTTGTACATCACTTGTTCCTCCCTCCCGTATGAAAAGGCTTTGAAAGATAATCAGTGAAAGGGATGCTGGGTTGAACCATGTTTCAAACAAGACCTCCTCCCATCTCCCTCTCTTTTCCACAGCTGCCTGTAATAGCTAGGAGAAAATGGAGCTTTAAATATGGAATGTACAGATCAGTATCTGAAGGCTGCCTTGGATTTCCTTGTATTCTTTTATGTTCATGGATTTTAAAATTTTCTTATGTACATTGCTCTTTGGCCATCCAGGAAAGAGCCAATAAATGTTCTGCACATGTCAATATCATGTTCAGATCAGACAATGGGTTTGGTTTCCCCTTTGAAAGTGCACTGGGCATCTAGACTAGCCAGATTTGAACCACTGTTTTGAACAATGAACCACATCTACATCCTGAACCATTTAATAGTTAGCTTGGTACTACAGAGATTTTGAAAATACTCTTTGGGAAATGATTGCTGTTAAGGGATGAACAACAAGCATATCTCAGATGTTAACTATTCATAAAGTCACAAACAATCCCTTTGGGTATCCAACTTATTCAATAAAAATGCAAATGGGAATCCTTTTCAAGTTCCTACCAGCTCTTCTTCCATAGTGCTGCACAAGCTTTCTTCTATCAGAGAAGGGATGCTCTGGAAGAGAACTTCTGGGTAGATATCTACCAGTGTACCTCATCATCTTCATCAAGTCATGCTCTTCACTGATTTTGTCTGGATATAAATTCTCCCGATCAGTTCTATTGACTTCTATTGTGTCCTGCCTTCCTCATCTAATCTTTTCTGCCTATTGAGTTATCTCTTGGCTGCTTGCCTGCCTTTCCATCTGCTATTTTTTGTGTTAGGGCTCCACTCTCCCTTCTTCTGATGTGAGTTTGACCTGTCAGTGGTCCCCATGAACTAGCAATCATATAGCAAGCTGGGATGATTATTAAGCCCACCCAGCTAAGAACTTCTGGAGACGATTATTACTTAGTTGCTTGTGGTGTGTGTTTAAAATGTGCCTCCTACCGCTCCTAAAATAGTTTAAATCAGCTCACCACAAACAGTAAAAAAAGCAACAACAGTAACATCCAATTAACAAGTGTTTAAAAAATACAATTAAAACATCACAGAAACAGTGAGGCAAAACCTGTTCCACAAAAATGTAAGTGTGCATTTCATAAAAACAATACCAGAAACAGCAACACCAACATAATTATCACATTGTGTTTTCTACAAAAGTGTGTTCTCCACATGTATTTTCCATTTGTGTTATTTAGCAACTAATATGGAGAAATAAGTAGCCCCTGATATGACTAGAACCATGGATCCTCTCCAGGGGTGGGCTTCAAAAATTTTAGCAAGGGGTTCCCTGCCCGGTTGCTGGGTGGGCGTGGCCATGGTTGGTGTGGCCTAGTCGGCCTCCTGCACTACAGTGGGGGGGGATTTTTGCTCTGGAGGCTTTCCTTGAGCCTCTGGGAGGGCAAAAACGGCCTCTCCAGGCTCCGGAGGCCCTCTGGAGGCCAGAAACCGGCCCTTTTCTGGCCTCCAGAGGGCCTCCAGAGCCTGGGGAGGCCTCCCTGAACTTCCAGTAGGCACATTTTTCACCCTCCCTGAGTCTCTGCGCACACCCTGCACTTACCTGCATCCAAAATGGGCTGCATGGGGACTCCTGGGAGGTGGGGTGGGCGGGGCGGGGCCAGCCAGGAGTGAGATTTGGGGGTTCTCTGAACTGCACAGAATCTTAGCTAGAGGTTCTCCCGAACAACTGCAAACCCCCAGCAGCCCACTACTGATCCTCTCCTCTGAGAAATTAGACCACCTCCTCTTATTTTCAGATTGATGGACACCATTAGAACAAATTTCATTATGTCATTGTGCTCTGACTGAGAAAGTGTTTCCTTTCATGAATATTAAACCTTCTACCTTTATTAGATGGCCTCAAGTTCTAATATTATTGGAGAAGTTCCTTTGCAACTATTTGAAATTTAATTCAATTTAATTTAATTAATTAAATTTATATGCTGCTCCTCTCTGAAGACTCAGGGTGGCTTACGATACATTTAAAAAATCATTATAAAAAGACATTGAAAAATTTAAAAACATTAAAAACTCATTCACACCATTCACGGCCGGATCTCGCCAGATCACAAAAGCGAGATCAATGGCCACAGGCCTGCCGGAAAAGCCAGGTCTTCACTGCTTTTTGGAAGGCCAATAGGGTGGGGATGGTCCAGACCTCAGGAGGTAACTGGTTCCAGAGAACTGGGGCAGCCACAGAGAAGGCCCTTCCCCGCGGGCCCGCCAGCATTTCACTTCTTTTCTGTTTATTTCCTCTGTCCCTACCCCGCCTCTCCCCAATTATAGATAAATGAGAGTATATTTTAGTGTACTTAATATATATTATGTAGAATATATTTGATTATTACCGTTAAAATACAAAGAAAAAACTCCAAACTCTCCACTAGCATCCAGTAATAAGGTCAATTCCTTTAGCAGGCCTGAAAAGAGACTGAAATTAATCTCCAACTGTACTATCCCCAAATATCTCCAATTACCCCCCAACATACCTTAAGTTGCCCAGAATCACTTTGGACAGCATGAAGGGTAGCATACAAATTTAAGAATAAATACATGAAGTTGACAAGCCATCATTAGTATTTTGTTAAAAGGTGAATTTCTCATAGCTAAAGAGCCTGTTTTTCCACCTCTTTTCACCTGAAAGAAAATACTAACCAATACTTCAACTTCAGATCTAGTGTGAAAAGTGTGAATTTTCCTTGGACACATCCCAAGGAGAAGGAGGGAGCTGGAAGGAACTTGCCCTAAATAACTCAATAAGAGGCTTGACAAACAGTTTTGTGGTTCTTCCAGAATCCCTGAGGAAGCCTCCAGTTCTTTGGGAAAGGCCATTAACATTTGTTTAGTTATTTTGAGGCAGAAATTGGCAAACTTTAATCTGAGAAATTTCCTGTAATTTATTGACACTTACACATCTTTTTTTCCCTCACAGAATCACTGCTGTTTTTAATTAGCACAAATTAATCAATAGCAGAGGCCATGCTGAGTTCCATTCAAATGCAGGTGCCAATTGCCAATTGCATGCTAAACACAACAAAAAGTGAAAACGAACATTTGAGATGAAGCTTTCAGGAGACAGGCTTCCTCAACAAGGCAAACATACTAAACAAGATGATGTGGAAACCTGAAGAAACTGCTCAACATCTGCAGGCTTCAGGTGTAATTTCCATTACATTTTACATTTGGATGTCATTAAACATTTGGATGCTGTTCCAAAATAAGACAGAAGTGGGGTGCAAAATGAATCGGCCAGACTTTTTTGGGGTGAAATATTGATTGTTACATTAGATTTGGCAGTTGGGATATGGGGGAATCAAAAGACCATTTCACTCAATCGGTTTGTATATACTTCATTCAAGTCAAATCAAAATATTTTATTATGATCCCTGAGCAGAAAATGCATACCTCATTTTTTTTGTTCTCCAGCATTGATTCCACTGGGCTCATGGCAACTCATCATCTGACCTGCCTATAATCCCAATTGATGAGTAAAGAACCAGAAAGCAGTTCTGATTGCCACTTTATTGTTCTGATTTCCACTTATTGTTAATAAGGTGTTTTGCATTAGTTATGTTTCTTTTGTTTTCTTTGTACACCACCAAGTCACATGTTCTGAGTTGTGCAGCCATATAAATGCTTTAAAAAATGAATAAAGTCCAACATCAACCACATATGTAGGTTTTGCTAGATACACAGTGAAATCAAAGCTGAGAAAGACTACCATATACCCATCTGTTGGGTATTAGAAGCTCACTTTCTGTGTCGTGACACCTGCCCTCTGGAATGAGGGTTCTTCTGCAATCTGCTTGGCCCCCAGCCTGCTGCTCTTTCTTGTAGGCAGAATAACAGAGTTGGAAGGGACCTTGGAGGTCTTCTAGTCCAAACCCCTTCTCAGGCAGGAGATCCTATACCTTTTTAGACAAATGGTTGTCCAATCTTTTCTTTAAACCTCCAGTGTTGGAGCATTCACAGCTTCTGGAAGCAAGTCATTCCACTGATTAATTGATCTAACTGTCAGGAAATTTCTCCTTAGTTTTGGGTTGCTTCTTACCTTGAGTAGTTTCCATCTATTGCTTCTTGTCCTGCCTTCAGATGCTTTGGAGAATAGATTGACTCCGTGTTCTTTGTGCCAACACCTTAGATCTTGGAACACTTCTATCATTTCACCCCTAGTTCTTCTTTTCATTAAACTAGACATACCCAATTCCAGCAACTTGTCTTTATATGTTTTAGCCTCCAATTGCCTAATAATCTTTGTTGCTCTTCTCCCTTATTCTTTCGAGAGTTTTAACATCTTTTTTACATCATGGTGGCCAAAACTGGATGCAATATTCCAAGCATGGTCTCACCAGGGCATTATAAAGTGGTACTAACACTTCATATAATCTTGATTCTACCCTTCTTTAATGGAATCTAAAACTGAGTTGACTTTTTTGGCAGCTTCAACACATCGCTAGCAAATGATTGTCCTCTCTAGGACTCTAAGATCCCTCTCACAATTACCACTATTGAGCCAAGTACCACCTATATACTATACCTGTGCATTTGGTTTTTCTTGCTTAAATGTAGAACCTTACTTTTTTTCACCATTAAATTTCATTTGCTTAGATAGGGCCAAATGTTCAAGTTTTCAAGTCTCAAAGCTTTTGTCAAAGACCTTTTTAAGTGGTTGCTACTCTCTGGTTTGTTCTCTTTTATTCTTAAATATTATTGTATTCTTTTATTCTTTTTAATCTTGCTTGTGAACCACCCAGAGTCATTGGGAGTTAAATATTATGCAAATAATAATAATAATAATAATAATAATAATAATAATAATAATAATAATAGTACAATAGACTAGATACCTATTCATCTTGTCTTCTCTACTTCTAATAGCACTCCGAATTTTCAGCTGGAGAATCTGCCATCTTGATTCTTGATAATTGGGATAAAAACCATGATCTTCTTCACGGTTTCCAGATGCCATACCATCAACCTATTTCCCCCCAATAAAAGCTCAATATCCGTAAGATTGTGAATGTGCCACTGACAGAGATGGCATCCCATATTCCCTAAGCTAAAATGGTACCTAGATGCCATGATGAACAACCTGAGGTTCAGCCCCAACAAGATGAAGTCTTGGTGTTCAGTAAACAATTTGACCTGAGAATAGGAGTAAAAACTTATTTTCGAGCTCACATATTATATTGAGATGAAAGAAAAAATAGGTTTTGTATTATAACAGATTTACCATATTTTTCAGACTGTAAGATGCACTGGTGTATAAGATAAACCAAGTTCTCTTGGTTTCTAGCCTGATACCTTAATCACTACACCAAACTGTCTGTCATATACTATATTTATCTGAAAAAAAAACTGAATTTAAGACAGGTACTCAGAAAAATTAAATGAAATACTATATTTTTTGGAGTATAAGACATACTTTTTTCCCTCCTAAAAGAGGGTGGAAATGTTGGTGCATCTTATACACCGAATACAGCCATTTTTGGCCTCCTGAAGCCCCGACCTGCTCGTCCCATTTTTGCGAAAAATTTTTCACAAAAATGGGGTGTGCAGAGGGTTTGGGAAGCCTGCAGGGTGGGGGAGGGCAAAAACCTTTTTTTTCTTACTTACCTCTTTGAAATTGTCAGTTCTAGTCCCATGTCAGACATGAAGCCAGCTGAGTGACTTTGGGCCAGTTATTCTCTCCCTCTCTCTCTCTTAACCTTAGGAAGCAAGCAAGAACAAACCCACTTCTGAAAATCTTGCCAAGACACCTGTAGGGACTTGTCCAGATATTTGCCAGAAGTCAACACTGACTAGAATGCACCAAAAACAAAACAAAACAACATTGCTCATTGAAGAGGGAGTGCCTTCTTGGATCTGGAAATGTAGGGAATAATAACAACCAGGAAGGGCTTGTCTAGATATGCCTTGAATATTTTTTATCTTTGAAGTTCTAAATAGTTTGCTATCCTGATACTCTTCCTGTAGCCTGACAGTAACATACCATCTTCATCAGATGGCTAAATAACCCATCTCAGAAGGCAACAGGTTAAGAACTATGTAAGGAAGAGTCACTGTACTCTACATGTATTTTAGCAATAGCAATAGCACTTAGATTTATATACCGCTTCACAGTGCTTTACATCCCACTTTAAGCAGTTTACAGAGTCAGCACATTGCCCCCAACAATCTGGGTCTTCATTTTACTGACCTCTGAAGGATGGAAGGCTGAGTCACCTTGAGCCAGTGAGAATTGAACTGCCAAACTGCTAGCAGTCGGCAGTCAACAGAATTAGCTTGTAGTATTGCATTCTAAACACTGTGCCACCACAGCTCTTTGTTACGTTGTCCTGGCATGCTGGTAAATTGTGTATACATGAGAATACATGGCATGCTGGTAAATTGTGTATATATGACAATGGTTATATACCATTGTCTAATGGCTAATTTCATGGCTATATACAATGTTTGACTTAGAGTAGGAAGCTCTAAGCATTTTCCTTGTGCTCTCCAATCTTTTGGAGGAAATATAGCTGTTGTGGAATACGTTCTTCCCCCACATCCAAAATAAGAAGCTACATTAATACTTTGATTAGACATTGGTTAGACAAGGGACTAAGCAGTTAATTCAGTTTGTCCAATAGGAGCAGTTCTGATGCCATTGATTCTGACAGTGTATTAGTTACATGAGAAAGGCTGTACAGACCAAGACTTACAAGCATCATGCCTGAGTCTTACCGCCTTGCAGCCTTGCTTCTGAGGTACTCATAATTTTTAGTAACTCATAATTTGATGGAGAAACACATCAGTTTTGAAAATGGAGGTGTTCAAGGAATGCAGACTTGCTTACAGGAGCTACAAATATTCTTTTACTTACACTAACCAGAGAAGATGGGGGGAAATCAGTTAGTGTCATTGGAGTGATGCTGAAATTGTTAGCAATGAGATATTGCTATTCCTTGGAATCAAATGAAAACAATACAAAGTTCTGAAATAAATCTCCAATAGACTGTCACACAAATTAGCCTCTTCTTAATGCTGTAAGCAAACTTACAGAGAAATTATCCTTCTCCTTGGATATCTCACCACAACTAAAGACGGAAAAAAGGTTAGAGAGTTTCTTATCTGCAGCCTAATTCATTTTAGAAGACATAATAGACTAGTCGGCCTCATTCTTAAGATCTTGACAGATTATCGTACTTATGGGTTTTCCTGCTGTAGTAAATAAGCCAAAAGGAAAGGAACACATTTCCCCATAATATGTTGTTTCAGGAAATGTGTAAATGATGCTGCCTTTGAAGTTCAGGGTTGGAATGCTAATTGTTCAATCCCTGCTACTTGTTCTGTATTCTGAAGGAGAAATCTTCCACTCTTAGAACAGCACTGACCAGATGCAGAATTTCTGTTCTTGCCACTCATAGTAGCATTATTGTTAGTATTGATAATATTCCAATATAGCTTTACTGAGATGTTTGCATTTGTAAAAGTTCTCTCAAACAAGGATGGGTAAACTAAAAGGCAAGGCTGTTATTCCATGGATGTCTGCTTCCATGTAAGCCCCATCAAGCACAGTTGGAGGTTTAACAGCATAAAAATATACTGTATATAGGACACACTAAGCATTTTAATGTCTGCTGCATCTGCATGTGTTTTTGCCTAAACTATAATGTTCATTTCTGTGTACACCTCATGAGACAGGAAAAACAAGTCTTACCCGGGCTTCCATTGGACTGATGGTGGCAGTCTTGGTCTAAGACACCTGGAAAGTGACATGTTGGAGAAGGCTGACCACTCCTTATTGATTGATTCTATTGATTATGTGCATCACGTAGCTTTTTATTCCTAGGAACTATATAGATTTCCTCCATGCCAATCTATCCCTAACCTGTTCTTTCAAGTCTCCAGTAGTGTACTCATCCCCATCATAACTGAGACCATCCACCTTCCTGCTGCTTATCCTCTTCTTCTCTTTCCTTCTACCTTTCCCAACATTAGAGCCTTTTTCAGAGAACTAGCTCTTTGCCCAATGCATCCAAAGTAGGATAATTTGAGCTTAATTGTTTGTATCACAAGTGAGAACTCTGGGTTGATTTATTCAGTGACCCACTGGTTTGTTTTCATGGCTATCCACAATGTTCTAAAGAGTCTTCTCCAGCAGCAAACTTCAAAGGCCTCAATATTCTTCCTGTCCTGCTTCTTTGAAAAATCCAATATTCATTTCCATGGAGTGTCACAGAGAATATCATGGCTTGTGTGATTTTGATCTTTGCAGGTATTTTGCAGACACTTCGTAACATTTAAATATATTTTAAATATATTTTCCCAGTTCTTAACAGATGCTCTACCACATACTAGTCTGTGGAGTATTTTTTGACCATTCCCTATTATCTTTCCTGAAATATAGTGAGATGTGATGCTATTTATTGATTGATCATATTTCTATGCCACATCAATCAAAACAATTCAGTGGATTACATAAATAGACAAACCAGATTAAAACATCTCTACTGGAATAAAACAACCACAAAACAATAGAGAAAATAAACAAATCTGAAAAACAAATCTGAACAACAAATAAATAAAACAATTAAAATGGAAATATTTGTCTGTTGGAAAGCTCTCCAAAACAATTTGATCTTCCAAAGGACCAACAAAGAGGGAAGCAGTCTGATCTCCACAGATTGGAATCTATTCTATAATATCAGCATTGCTACCAAGAAGCATTGGCCTCTTGCTTCAATTCCTAAGACACCCCAGGATTTGCAGAAGTTTCTTTGAAGTATATCTAATTGGATTATCATGGGAGTAAGGTAGGTGGTCATGAAATACCCAATTGCTAAGCCTAGAGGGCATGGCCACACTGCATTTTGCTTATCCTCCAGCGTTCTAGAGCATATGCAGTCCAGTACATCATAATGATTCACTCTTATGTTTGTTTAGGGAGTGGCTAATAGTCATATTACTTGTTATAGTCACTACAATGATGCAACAAAGGCAAATATGATCTGCCTTTTTGACTCTTCTCCTATCTTGATTCTAATTCAAAACTAACCCAACGTTGTTTGGTATCATAGATAGGTTGAGAGAAGGAGCATTATGATGCAGCATGTCTAGGAATGTCCCATTTAACATTATGCAATTGCACGTCCAGTGCTCCACGCTCTTTCTTGATTTCTTCTATGGACTTCCAAGGAAAGAACATCTCGAGAGAACAACTTCCACTGGACTTTTCCAGATTTGCAAGTGTAGCCAGAAGTCTTCAGAGTGAAGGAAAATGTGTAATGGAATACAACCTCAGCAGTGCCATCCTCTATTACAAAAAGGAAGTTTAACATATTATCAAGAACCTGGAACAAAACGTTAAAAACAGGAAGTGTTTAATGGAGAAAGAAAATTTGGGAATTTGTCAGGCAAATGTGGCCCAGCTTTAGTTTCCACCACTACAGTTCCATGAATTCAAAGTTCAGTTCTCTATTCTGGCACAACTGCATTGTTGTTAAGGTAGGTCACACAGTCAGTTTAATCTAAGTCAAACCCTTCTATTTTCTCCATAACAACCCAGTGAGGCAGGTTGGGCTGTGGGGGAGTGACTGGCTCAAAGCCAAGTGGCTTCTTCTATCCATCAGCTTCTTATTAATCTTACCCAACATTGTGCTACCTCATAATTCATTATCTCTGTTCACTCATTATGGGGGAAAACAGGGGTCACCCACCAATTGGTTTCCATTTTAACTCATTCTGTCTGCTACATCATGTGAACGTGTGAGCAATAATCACCAAAGGTCAACATTTTTGCTTTCCATTATCTGATTTTGGCTGATGATGATGATGTATGAAGCAGGGAGAGAAGAGATAGCTTGGTTTTCATAGGCTAGGTGTTGACCCTGCTGGGCTTAGTGTAGCATGAAACTAGTTTTGACTAGTAAACTGAATAAATATGTTTGGAAAGATGCAGAGGGATAATATATATGCAACACCAAGGTGCTATTTTTATGAAACGATTCACCAGAGGGTTAAGCAGGAGCCAAACACATTTAGTCTGTGATGAGTTTCAGCTGAAAAAAAGGAAGCTTTTCATGCCCTAATCCCCCCGCCCTTCGCAACTGGCAGCCTCCTTTGCTTTGCCTTCCCAGGGACAATAGAGGAGCATCAGTTAGAAAGAGCGGCTTTGCCTACATTCAAGTCACGCTGCCCAAAGTCAGGCCAGCTGAGGTAGGGCTGGGGTCTGAGCTGTGAACATAAGCTTATTAGAATTCCCAAGGGTTGAGAACCTGGATTCTAACCAATCATACTTTACCCTCTGCGTAGGCAGCTAGCAAGATAAATTCTCAAAGCAGCCTAACAGGCATGATAATTCTTGTTTTATTTTCCTTCAGAAAACAGCACTGTTCAGTGCTGACAGACTGTTAAACTTTCACTTTGACAATTCACATTGGAAAATGTTTCCAAAATGTTTGGATTTGATCTGCTTTTTCACTCTGCCTTTCATTTCAACTTGTGTGTGTGTGTGTGTGTGTGTGTGTCCCTTCTTTTTTCTACAAAGAAAGAGAAGGGAGTGGGAGAGAGAATAGAAAAGCCGCAGAGACTTTTTGAGAAATTGTCTTTATGCATACGGTAAAAGAAATGGAATAGAAATAGGAATGTGTGTACTGGCCATATCTCCAGACTGTAGCTTACAGGTTACAGGTGTAAAAAGACAAGCTGATGTAGAGGTGGAGGGAAGTTAGCAGCAAAGGGAAAAGGGGATGAGTTCACAGCAGCTGAAAGTAGCCAATAGAAGCTCGGATGATTCAAGCCCTGTCACAATTACCACTGAAGCAATGTATGTGCATATAGCAAGCCTAGAAGATGAAAATACAGATAGTCCATGACTTATGACCATTTTTAGTGACTATTTGAAGACAATGTGATTCGATTAATGATCAGGGTAATTTGCTTAACGACTATAGCAAAAATGGTCATAAAATTTTGCGCAAGTCACTTAACAACCACTCGCTTAGCAATGGCCATTCCAGTCCCAATTGTCGTAAGTCAGGGGTGTCAAACTCTCATTGTCACATGACATTATCGTGACTTTTTCCCCCTTCACTAAATTGTGTGTGGGCGTGGCCAGTGCGTGACGCATCCGGCCTGCAGGCTGCAAGTTTGACACCCCTGTTGTAAGTCAAGAGTTACCTATACTGTTTTCACATTGGATAAAAAATCCCAAAGTCAACAGGCTTGGTAATAGGCCAGGGAAAAGAGAAAGGCTGTATCATTTTGAACATCCTTCAGGAACAATTAGGCAGGCACCTCAGCCAAAATTAAGATGTACCTTCATAGTTATAGCTTACATTGATTTTGGACACCCATTTTAGCCAAGGTTATATTTAACAAAAGGAATATATCTCTAAATAATATAACCATAGATTATTTTGGATCCATCTTTATTAAGTACTAAATCATACCATATCTGGATTGCAAAAATCTGAGTGATCATTAAAACATAGAGAAAACTCTAACAGATTATTGCCATTCTGTGGTCATTCAGATTTTTGCAACAATGATATAGTATTCTATTCCAAGAAATATACTTTAAAATAATATACAGCGTATAGGACCATGTTGGCGAACCTACAGCATGTGTGCTGGAAGTGACACGCAGATCCATTTCTCCAGGCACGCGGAGCCGTCGCCCGTTGCTCTTCCGGGTTCCAGTGGACCGGCCAGCTGGGTTTCATGCGCACTGGCAGGCTAGAAATCGGAAGAGCAGCCGCCCATTGCGCATGCGCATTCCAGGAAGATGATCTTCCTGTTTCTAGAGTGCGTATGCATACCGGCCCAGGTGGTCTGGTTTCTGGCGCTCATGCATGCGCAAACACTAGCACCAGGCTTGCGTGCCAAAAGATGCAGAGAGGGGATCCTGGTGGTCACTCCAAAGGGAGCAGAGCAAGGTAAGCCAGGGCTTCCCTCCCTCCCTCCCTTCTTGTGCAACCCCAGGCGGTCTGGACCAGCAGCCGGTGAAAGCAGGGTGGTGGTGGTGGTGGGCTGCCTGCACAACTGACATTGTGGCCTGGTCTCCTCCGCATTGGGAGCCACCGTTCCCTGGCTGATGGCCGTTCTCTTGGCTCCACCAGGGAAGCTCTGAATGTGTGGCTTGCCTGGGATCCTCCCTGCTGGGAGCCACAGGCTGAGCAGGTGCAGCTGGTGGGGCTTTGGTGGACCAGAAGCTGGTGAGCTATGAACACACGGCTTGCCTGGGCTCCTTCCCCCTGGGAGCCACCATTCCCTGGCTTGGCGTGGCACTCCCACCTGACCATCACTGCGCTGCCTGCTGTTGGGCCAGTCACCAGACCCCTGTCATTCCCGTGGCTGCACCGCAGGCCAAACCAATGCTGGGGAAGGAGCAGTGGGCAGGGCAGCCAGCCGCCCAGCCAGCAAATGCTGCCCTGTGCACGTGAGCCGGCCGGTCACTCTTGCCCTTCCCTCTGCAGCCTGCGGCTCCCAGCAAAGAGGAGCCCAAGCAAGCTACGCATTCAAAGCTTCCATGTTGGGGCCAAGAGCACTTCCGCTGTATGCCGCCGTCTCTTCTCTGGGGAAGAAGCGAGCTTCCAAAGGAGCAGGGAGCTGGTTGGGTGGCCTCCTCTGACCCAGCTGGCCTGTTCACCATGATGCTGGTGACAGCGGTGGCTTGCTTTCCTGCCCGTCTCTTAGCAAGGAAGCTTCCCAGCCACTCGCTTCGAAGTAGCCAAGCCGTTCCCTTGGAAGCAGGCGCCCCAAAGCTAGTGATTGGCAGCCTCCGCATGGAGCTTTTGACCACCTCTCCGGGAAGTTTCTTCACAGAGATGGACAGACACACGCTGTGTCGCTCTTGCCTCACTCGCTTGTAAACTTGCACTGCGTGTGGGGAGACTAAGAGCTCTGCTTCAGCTGCCAATTGAAAACAGCACTGAGCTGCACAGAGCGGCAAACTCCAGAGCTGAAAGAGGCTGAGGAGTGGCAGGGCTGGGATTGGAGTCAGCCAGGGGAAAAAGGGAGGTATGTGGTGCCACTCCCCCTACAAGTGCAACCTCCAACTGCCCATCTCTTGGCGAGGAAGCTTCCTGGCTGCTCACTTCAAAGTAGCCTGGGGAGAGAGAAAAACAGGACTTCTGGTCCCACTGTTTTCAGCCTCCAGAGGGCCTCTGGGGGAGTGGGGAAGGCTGTTTTCGCTCTCCCCAGACTCCTAGAAAGACTCTGGAACATGGGGAGAGAGAAAACCTGGCCTACTGGGCCATCACGTGTCGGGAGCAGGGGGAACGAGGGGGGAGGGTTTCCACGTGCATGTGTGGGGGTGCGGCACATAGAATTATGGGCGTGGGCATGCACACGCCTGACACACACACATCCCGTGCTCCCCCCGCTCCTGGCACGCAATGGCAAAAAGGTTAGCCATCACTGGCATATAGCATTAATGTCTTCATTTGTTCTGTGCAATGAGCAAGGAATTGGCCATGATGCTTTAATTGACTTCTTCCAATGCTTTGATTTTATCATTCTATTATCCTTATCTGCTCTGTAAGTCTCAATATTGACTACTTTATTCTGAGATAAAAGCTTGAATCTCAAAACACTTAGTGTATGTTTAGCAAAGGATTGGAAGAGACAATATTAAAGGCATGATCAATCTATCACTTACCAGTTGCTTCTAATAAAACTGCACAGCACCATGTGGGGGGGGGGGTAACATTGAGGCAAGATGAGGCAAGATGACATGAATAATTCACATAATTGACCATACTGCAGGCAAGATACCTGATGGATCTACACATCAGATGGTAATCTTCTACAATATAGACATCTGCTATATTTTCACAAAAACTGGCTTAATATTTGGTCTCAGCAAATACTCGTAAGTCGTAACTCAATATTCATTGAGAAGAGAAAAGAAAAAAATATCACTGCAACCAAATGCTGGAAGTCTCTGCACATGTGCATTATTTTTATTTTTCTCTATGTTCTTTTTTATTTTTTTCAAAATGTCATCTTGCTAACTTGTTTTTAATCCTACTGGCTGTAGTTGCCCATTGCATTACATTGATGGGAGTTTGTGATATCATCTTTATTAGGCTATGCATTGTTTGACTAGCAAAATTGCACATGTCATCCCAAATCAATATGACTAAATGGCACGAAGAGTAAATGAGGTTGAAAATAATTTGAATGCCTTTACAACAAATGCAGAAAATCTCGGAAATGAAGAGCTATTTTTCAACCCTCCACAAAATTAATAGGAAACCTGAAAGTCAGGCCCAACTAAAATAATAATTTTAAGAGGCTTTTAAGTAGAATAGACTCAATTCACCCAATTTAATTTTTTAATTAGTATTTTTTTTGCCACTAACAGAAATGAACCCCATGCAAAATGAGATTGTATGGTGACAATTTCTTGGGGATGTGCAAACTGTGAGGAAACTTCAGAATCAATGAAAAACAATAAATCAGTTTACATCATCTTTGAAGTTCCACATAATTTTTCTAGGCCCCTTTTTTCTTTTTTTAAAAATGAGAATAAAGGAAGATTCATTGACGGATTAACAGATCATAGCAGTACAATTAATTCAGCTAAAGGCATTTGCACTGACGTTTATGGTTCTTTTCCATTCAGATTTGAGATTTAAATATCTCAGGCGTCTTTGACTGGGTTGATACATTATCTAAGCCATCATGTGGTTTCAGGAATGATACCTAGTGTTTGGTCTGGTTCTTATGAACTGGTTGTTATACTGCATTGAAAAATCATTTTATGTTTCTTTGGCAGTCACAAATGATACAACCAAAACAAAGGCAGCGATACTTAGATTGTCTTTATTTGCTTCTGCTCTGTAGGATCTCAGTCTTTCTGCTAGATCACCGTACAATTTAATGGAACTCTTCTTCCTCATTGTCTTTATGCCAGGTTTAAAAGATTGGAATGGGAGATCTTAATTTAATCTGTTATTAAACAACAATCAGACAGAAGCTTAGAGGCATCCATTTGAAAAAATATCTGCTAGCAGAGTCAGAAAAATAAAAACACCTGGTACCTCTGCACAATATAGGTGCTACTCCTTTTTAATGTATATCATGTGGGGAAAAGGGGCAGTGCTTCAACTGCATGGTCATGGCTACCGTAATTTATTTTATTTATTTATACATCAAATTTAGGTACCATCCCCCCATCTTATTCTCAGAGTTACTTTTCTTGGCATTGACTCCCTTCAGACCACCGATATGGCAAAAAGAAAGCTGTTTGTCTTGCTCCATCATTAAAGTCAAGAATAACCACTTTACTAAGGAAGCTTGCTGCTTTCATTTGAGGACAATATTGATTTTGAAGGGAATACTGTTCATTGAGGAGGAAATTTAATAAAACAACATGAAGGAATCACCCCTTTTTCTCTTCATTGCAGCAAAGGAAGATAAAGTCACTTGAGGTCTTTCCCCCCTGATTCTTGGCAGCAGGGGCTGCAATCATATTTTGGCAGGGTGGAAATATTTTCCTAGTACTGGAAAATATACCATGTGGGTAGTGGAAACCTCTTTCTAGAAATAAGAGTAAATAATAATTATGACAACAATGCTAATTCAAAAGCAGGTAACAATAATATTATTCTCAACCACCATCTTGTGATTCCCCCTCCAGACATATTTCTAAACATCAAATATCCCAAGTTAATCTCTCCTCCAAAATGAAAAATTACAAGCGATGAGAACTGCTACTAGGAGGCTAAGCTATAACTGCTGCACCGTAACCTACTATTACTATTACATTCATATTGGAAGCATCTACCGATGCACTTACAGCTTGAAAGAATTAGCTGGTGACATCACCATTGCCCAAGGTATGCCCATGGAGACTCCTTTCATGTCCCTGGTATTTTTCCTTCGAAGTGATGCCTATTTATTTACTTGCATTTGCATGTACATGTAACCTAAAAATGGAAAGTGCAGTTAAGCAGAGAGGACAAAAGCCAGGAATCTTATCAAAAAGTTTGCTTCAAGAGGTACATAAAAAAGGAAACAAATCCTTAAGGATCAAAGTGACCCTGAAACCTGCCCATTCTTGGAGTCCTCCTAGATCTGGACTTGGCAGCTTTTGTCTTTCTAGCTATTCCTTGGCAACCTAGCTTAAAAGAACATACTAGAAGTAGGTAAGGTAGTGTGTGTGAGAGGGAGGGAAGGAGGGAGGCAGGGATGGAGGAAGGAAGGAAGGAAGGAAGGAAGGAAGGAAGGAAGGAAGGAAGGAAGGAAGGAAGGAAGGAAGGAAGGAAGAAAGCTGTACTGTCTACATGAAAGAACTATCAGTCAAGCGCTAAAAACAGATATCTAGGCTGAGCCCATTTTCTGAGGCAATGTTTCTTAAAGGTGCTTCTGGGGAGTAGTGCCCACAAAATCATCTGAGGGGTCCTCAAAATCATAATCACAATTATTTGCCAATCTATGTACAATGTACAATGTTTAAAACCCCATCTATCAATTGAGAGAAGTGGTAGCAGCTGCAAATTCATCAATTTTAATTTTTAAATACAATAAACATCGATACGTTTAACCCATACAGACATAAGCTCTTTTGGGGTGAGCTCTCTCTTTAAAGCAAGAAGGGGTCCTGAAAGAAAAAAGAAACACTGCTCTGAGGTACTTCTTCTTTTTTTTTTAACTAATTGTATGCTTGGTCCTCTCATTGTGCATCATTCTCTATTTTGCTCTGATGCCAACCAGTCGATCCCAGGATTCTAGTAAACAATAAAATATATCCTGGAAGCTTAAAGTCTGCCACCGATCCAGATTCCTGTGGTGAAGAAAAATAGCTACTTCAGCCAGTAACAATGGTGAATCATTTCACTGGGATCGAATTGAATTATGGCGGAGCAAGAGTCAGTATAGAAGCAGCTTGGCTGCTTCATAATTCACCTTGAAAGGATGATTTTTTTTTCTTTTTTACTCTCTTCAACCATTTTCTGTTCCATTTGGCAACGAAAAACTTCAAAGGAAATGGCAACCATGCTACAAACTCATTTTCCATTTAGGAGAGTAAGTGAGAAAAAGCAAAAGAGGGATTGCTCCAGTAAGAGGTTTATTTAACATAATAGGCAACATTTATATTTTTGGTAAGCTGCAAGCCATAAATTGAATGCTTAATGTAGTCCATAACACTGCAGAAAGGCAACTTCAGAGTTAGCATAAAAATCAATTTCAGCTTTTATTTGGCTGCTGCATAGCAGTTTAAAACATAAACTGTAACAGAACTGTGGATAACATCCAAGCGTCATAATACCCCTTTGCTCCAAGCAAACCAATTAAAAAAAGACCTTCCTGTATTTAAAACGCACTCTCTCGCATTTGGATATACTTCCACGATCCCTAATATTGTTCCCTGTTATTGATCGTTTTATTTTTTTGAGCACAATATCTGAGGGAAAAAATGTTTTGTTTCTTCAACTCACCTTTGCAGCATGAGGGATGTGTTCATGGATTGAATCCCATGGCTCAAGGGAATTATTCCAAGGTCAGCTCTTTAACCTCTTACTCGCTTTTCCATTAACAAAGGGAGCACATAACCAGCTACCCCGAACTTCCAACGGTTTGTTTATAGCACTGAGGGACAGTTGTTTGCATCAGATATCAGGGAAAAACAGAGAACTAGAAATAAGTAGGACTAGAGCAGACCTGGGCATGTTATGGCCTCCTGGGCATATCCTGCCTTTTGGCTGTCCCTGTCCAACTCGCATGAGTTCAATCAAAAAAATCAAATATACATATACTGCATTGCTTTATTTTGAAGGAAACTTTTTTTTCAATTTAGTTGTGTGCATACGCCCGTGTGTGTGTGTGTGTGTGTGTGCCTATGCACGCTCACAGTATTGATTTGGCCTTCTACAAAAGTCCCAGTTTCTCACATGGCCCCTTGGGGAAATTAATTGCCCACCCCTCATTTAGAAAAAGAATGGGGTTTAGTTAATCATGTTTGCTTGCATGCCAGAGAAGCAAGGGGGAAATCTTTAGTATTAGCAGAAGTGAAGCCTGATCAGGAAAAACTTGTTCCCTGTATCACCCCATATCTTGGGTGGAATTTCAATTCTAAAGATTGTAGCCTAGCTCCTGTCCTTCCTTGATTTGACACTGCAAGTTGTGGCAGTGATTGCAAGGGAAAAAAATTCAAAAAAAAATTGACCATTCCTATTGAGGAAAGATCTTGTCAAAGGCATTCTCACCCTTCTACTGTACAAGGGCAAGTATTCAGAAAGTTCACTTACTGTTCCATATGGCACTTGAGTACAAAATATATTAGGAGCCTAGCATTTTGTTCCTGCCAATTTTAGTGAAATTTTGTTGTGGTGCTGTTGTTAAACTAATGGCATAGAAACTATATGCCTTGATGTCCATTTTCAGAACTGCTGCCTTATGACAGTAAGCATGAGCAGCCTGAAGTTCCAGGGCTACTTGTGACTCTCAAAACTCTCTACACCTGTCCCCCCATTTATGATATAATTCTCCACAGTTTGTATACTTCATCTATAGTGAATTCCCCCACCCCACTCCTGTTAAATGGGGTATTGCCAGCCAAATGAAATGTTGCCTACCATCTTATGGAATAGTATGATAACCAGGTTTGGCCAAGCCATAATAATATTACTTTAGGTATAGGATATATAGATTGGTTACTTAATAGTCATTTAGTAGACTTTCACTTTTATGGTTAACTGCAGTTTTAATAATCCCTTGGAATGCAAGGAGACCGAATCTGTCAAGTCTAAAGAAAATCAACCATGACTATCCTTTGGAAGGACAGCTGAAGGTCAAATATTTTGGCCACCAAATGAGAAGAGAGGACTACTCAGAAAAGACCCTGATGTTGGGAAGGATTGAAGGCAAAAGGAAAAGAGGATGGCAGGGGATGAGATGGCAAGACTGTGTTATCAACACAATGAACATGAATTTGGGTACTTTCTGGGAGAGAGTGGAGGACAGGGTTCTGGCATGCTATGATCCATGGGATCACAAAGAGTAGACACAACTTAGCGACTGAACAAAAATAAGCAGTTTTAATAAATCTATTACTATTATTTGTTTGAGTTCTTAAAGATTATTTAAAGTATCATTGATTTTGTTTGTTTGCAGCCTTGAGTTCCCTGTCAGAGATCTAAGGTGTACATAAACATTTAAATTAAATAAATGGCATTTGTCTGCAATCTATGAGGTATTTGACATTTGAACATCTGACCTTTCTCAGGTGTACAGCTCCCTTTAAATATTGTTACAGATTGCATACAAAATTCTCTTGGTGCCAGGAAATGCATGGTGAAATAAACCTGAAATGAAAACTACTCATGTTTGGGAACATGGTATATTGTCAACAATTTTGTTTAAGAACAGCTTTAAGATATGCTTAAGGGCCTTTTGAGTACAAACTTCCTTGGTTAATAATTCACTTTTATATATGAAACATCTGCATAAATTCAGCCATTCACTCAAATCCCAAATTTCACTCAAGAATAGCCTCAAAAGTTGAGGTTTGTTGTCCTCATGACCCCCATTATTTGAAGAATCGGTGCTAAGAATGCATTAAAATTTATTTTGATTACCTTATTTTCCCGAATAAAAGTTTTTGCTCCATTTCTACATCTGCTGTGTAAATATAAATATGCTATGTAAAATCTTAAGTGTCTTTTTAAAAATATTTTTCACTATTCATGATTGCAAGTGATTTTCTCCTATGCTTTAATAACTATATTTATAAAAATAGACCACTTAGTGTATATACACTTTTCCTTCATTACAGACATGTCTGTAAGTTTATTTTTACTTGAATCCATGCTGGAAATTCTACAGTGTGGGTTTTGTTATATGATTTCATTCTGATACTAACATAAGTTTGGTAAGTGTGAATTAAGTAGATCCAGATAAAATTCTACTATTTACAATGACAGGTGGTTTTTTTTTTTCAAAAAATATATTAGAAAAATGTAACTGCCTAATTATTTTTTTAAGGAAAATGTGTACCTAACATAATGGATCTTTTTCTTTTCCTTTTAAAATGTGTGTATGGTGAAAACTAATACCAAATAAGAAAAAGCAAATCAAAGCTCTGTATCTTTTGTTTATTCTGAGCTTGGAAGAAGTGATAAGTCTCTGTCCATGTAATTTTTTTTGCTGCACTCATACATACCATTGCATTAATTTGCAAATCTTGTTTTTAATAGTCAGGAAATTCCATATTATTTTAATGTGTCTTTATCCTAAAATGCTTACTTCCGTATAAAATGTAAGGGAAAAAATATGAAAACAAAAT